AATGTTCTTGTAGGTTGGCAGCCTGTGGTCCCCATTTGGAAGCGGGAAGGGGCGCTTGCTGTCTGGCACGGGGAGCGAGAAGGGTGTCGATGTTGGATGGGTCGACATCCATGGTCTTGATGGGGTACTCGCGCATAGCGAGAACGTCGTTGACGCAACCCTCCAGATTCTTAAACCTGATCTCTTTGCCTTCCTTGTCGAGCCTCAGTGGCAGCGTTGTCAGGGGGCGGATCGTAGTGGTCGACCCCTACACGTAACGCTCTTGTCGCCGCCCTAGGTCGGCTCATCTTGGCCTCCAATCTCTCGGTCTCTATCGATCGGCGGTTACTGTTTCGCTTTCTGGAGGCTCGCCTCTGAGAAACAAACAGTGGACTGGGTTGCCAGCTGATTATGACCTCCCTCTCCGGCTGCAACGACCCCTAATTGGCAATCTCTGCTCCTCCGTCATCCCTAGCCTGGAACCCCTCACACCACCGCCGCCATCTGCCAAAATGGTCCTCCTGCAGCACCATGCGGTAAGCTCCATGTCCCGTTCGGCCGAGCCTCCAGCTAGCAAATGCGGGTATGTGCACATTTCAGTGCAATCTTGGCCAATCACACCCCTACTTATCCACGGCCCAACGACGGACCGCGGGGTAAGTTGCCGTCGTCAACTGGTTGACGCTCTTGTGCCGTGGATAAGTGGCCCGGGGGGGCATGGGAACGGCTGTAACTGAGTCCTGTGAATGGAAGCACCGTTCGCCGGAACAGGTGACGACACTCCACACCACCTTGCGGCCCAGCTGAGCATGCAGTCGATATCTGCGACGCCCTTGTACTGTTGCAGCGACATTCCTTTTGTTTCCAAATGAAATACAACTAAACAGACCCCCTCTCTCTCCCATCCCCGCCGGATACTCATCATCCTGTCGCTCGGACGCTGTACGCCACAATGGCCGCCAGCGGCATGAGCGACGAATCCATGTCCCTGGGCCTGCGGGAGCGCGGTGCGCCATCTGCACCGCAGAACGAGGCCGGTCGCCGGTGGCCGCGGCGGGTGCATCCGGCAGGGAACAGGCCCTGTAGATCCGGAAGACCGTCTGTGGATCGGGCATGACCCGCGCGTCTGGGCCGCCTACGTCCACATCGGCCCCTGAGCGTTGTTTTTGAAGGACTAGAACGATAGCTGTTTCCGGCGCATTCCGTTCCAAACCAACGACAGATGTAATTTCATGTCATAGTTCCGTGCTGGAGCATGGAAGTGGTAGCTCAGGGGTGGCCCCTGGGCCAACTCGTGTGCATATATAGGAGCCTCACAACCCTTCCTCATAATCCCCTCTCTTCCTCCTCCTCATTTTCCAAAATAACATCACTATAACCCCTACTCCTAGTTCAAACCAAAAAGCCGACCACACACACCAAAGCGACTTTCAGCCCTACGACACATTGATAGAAGCAGTTCCGCTGCTGGTGGTCCGCCCGCTGGTGTACCCCTCCACGGCCATGATCATGTAGTCATGCCCTCCCAGCCTCATCCCCACCTTTGCCCACTCGGAGAAGTGCCTGCCCATGTTGACGGAGCCCTGGACCCGCTTCTCCGACCGGACAGACCAATACTGCTGGAAGGTGCGGGTGCCCTCGATGGAGGGCTTCTGGACGCGCGTCGACTGGAACATCTCGTAGGTGCCATCCTCGAAGGTGAAGTTGCCCTTGGACGTCCAGGGCTCGTTGGGGCTCAGGTCACCGTGGGACTCGATCACGTAGTACTCGATCAGGGGGTTGCGAGTCCAACCGTAAACCGCGAGGTAGCCCGGGCCGGTGGGGTTATACGTTCCGGAGTACCTGACAGTTCTGTTTCCATCCCAGGAATACTGTCAGTAATGGGCTTCAAGGTCCGTGAGGCGTGTAGGGCGAAGCAATGGTGAAAGCTTGATTGAGATCCGCCCTCCTCTAGGGGCTTTTCTGCCTGATCAATTATACCTTTGCCCGCCGTTCCTCCATCCTTTGCCGCATACAAAGCCGCCATTGCCGGACCAGGTTGCGCCAAACTGGCCACCCGCTCCGTTGGTGCATCGGAAGTTGCCGTTACCCTCCGACCAGAAGGAATAGTAGTATCCGCCCTGGCGGGGCTCGAGTTGGAGGAGCTCTGCGGGCTCTTCGGCTTCGGGGGAAAGGCCAGCAGGGACTGCTGCGGTGAAGATCCCCGATACGAGGAAGGCGACAGAGAGAAGTAAGGGGATCATGTCGTCGACGGTTGTTTGGACGACTATTATCGGAATTGATGTATAACTTGTTTTTTCCTCCCAATCTAGCGAATACGAAGACGGTAGTAGCTGTCCGTGAGCCCAGAGTACCCAACCAGGAACACCCTTCTCGTTTCTGGGGGAGGGGAGCTGAACTATTTATACATCTTGTCCGATCTGCCGTGGTGAGGAAAGTTACCCACACACCAAACCTGGATTTGGCATCTTCCTGGCCCTTCCGTGTCCAGCATTTTGATAATAGTCCACCTTCAGCCTGAAAAGGTGTAAGTGTAGTCCGTATTGCTTCCACCAATCACTTGTGATAGCAGTCGAGATCCATTCGCCCGTGGAGTCGCGTGGTAATACTCACCTTTCTATCCGTGACAGCCTTTGACGGAGACGCCCCATGCTGTCTGCTAGGCCAAGCTAGGAGAAAGGGGTTTCGTTGTGTTCGGTATGTCCCGTCCTTATTTTGAGTGCACGGCAGTTGCGCCTCCCTGCACCGCTGTTTAAATCCTGCCGTCCCCCGCAATTTCCCCAGATTAAAATGTGAATGCAGCCCGTGCCTGTGGCCAATGGGAAACATGCCGGTTCTCATGGCGGGTGCTGCATGGCGGAGTTATTAGCCACACATCCTGTGACCCCCCTCATCAAAAAAACTATCGCCTCGGCTTGGGAAGTTTGTATGCAAAATAAAGAAAAAAAAGGGGGGGCTTCAAATTAAAAATGACCGTCTAAAGACAAAAGTCCGAGGTTTCGACCCTTTTGAGCAGCCAATAATGCCAAGTCCATCTTTGAATCCGCCTCTCTACTGGCTATAGCTATAATGTCCGACACACTGGCTAGTCTAGGGTTCCCACGATGAGCTCGCCCTACTTCCGACGAAGCTGAGCGTACTCACCAACGCCATATTCCTGAACAAACATGCCACCTGGCTGTCATTTCCCGTCCGCCCCTCCCCCTCCCTCCCTCCCTCGAGTTTCCTGCGCGAAAACCCTCCGCGGGGACCCGAGCGTCTCCGCCCACGACCATTCCAATGGTGGTTGTGACGACGATTCGGGCAGCGATGCCGACGGCAGTGACTCTCACCCGGCTGAGTCGCACGACGATGTAGACGATGCTGGCGACGGTGCCGGCATCTCCACTATCACTTCGACTACATCGACAGCGACGATAGCGACGACGACGATAGCAGCGGTGATGACGATGGGGGCGGTGATGGCGATGATGGCGACGATGACAATGGATGCTCGGACGACAGCTACGACGACGATTACTGAAGCCTTACCACATTCGCCTCGGTATTTGCCCGATAGCTGGTTCCGGTTCCACACGCGGCGTTCTTCCTACCTACTAGCTCCCACCCTAATGGTAGGCTGTCGCGGCATGGCCCGCTTGCCCTTTGGCCATATACAGGTGTGATTGCTCTTGACCAGGCGCCAAACAAGCTTCCTTGGCGCCGTATGGTGGCGATTATAAAGAGAAGTACCTAGGTAGCCATACTTCCCGCTCTGCAATGTGATTTAGATGCTCGGCTATTCGCTTACAACAGACTCTCTTCACGCCGTGATGTCCTGCTACTTGGGACCAGGAAGCGCCGCCCATGTCACGCCGATATTTGAGAGCCGCCTGAGTACACTGTGCACCAAAAGACGTGTTAACTTAGGCGGGACGAGCTTCCCGTATCATTGGATGCCGCCTGTTATTAAAACCGCGGGACTGGGGTTTGGCACCACCTGCCGGTTCACAGTTTCTCACGTGGCTTCCCTGTAGAGGCAGTGATTTGTATTGCACCTGCTTCTCCTGTACCTGCTTCTCCTGTACCTGCTTCTCCTGTACCTGCTTTCCCTGTCACAGCAGAAGTCCTAATCATCGGCCAGCGGCCGGGGAGTGGCGGCCGTGTGGGAATGCTCTGGCGGCAAACCTTGATCAAACCCTCGGGCACAATCTGGCCACTGCTGGGCCGGACGGATCCCAAAGCTAGAGTCAATCACATTTTGGTCGCGGTGCAAAAGGTGAATCATCAGGGAACCATCGTCCATCCCCAACACGCGGGTGGCCGGATAACCCACAGCTCCTCTTCCGCCCTTCCAGACTCTTCGACAAAATCACAAAAACGGCTTTCAACCTTTCTTTGGCACAACCAGGAACAAACGCTTGTGGACCCAAATCCACCATGGCGAGCAACAACGACTTCTCGTACAAGAGCTCCGGCGTTAATAGGGATGTCAGTAGGGATAGCCTTTCCCACCTTTAGAGCGACGGAACAGGACGGCAGCGGATTATTGACATCGGATGGCCTCCGAGCACCACAGGGCAATCACTATTGCGCCCGTGACTACGGCCCCTCGGCGCGGAACCAGAACACGTACCACTATTCCAACAAGTCGGTTTGCCCTTCGCATCGCCTCGCATCGTACCTAACGGAGGTTCTTTCGTTGGAGCCAGATGCTGATTGACCATCTCGCTCTCGTCGCAGGGACGGCTCTTACTACTATTCCAACCCCAACGGCAGCACGTACTACAACGACGGCAACGGGAAGTCGACCTACACGGCGCCGAATGGCCGGGTCACCCGCTCTGGCGGTAGCAGCGGGGGCTCGGGCAGCCAGAAGTGATCGATGGGTTCTAACCGAGGGCGCATGTTTAGGAGTTGGAAGTGTGTGTTTGTATTCTGTTGAGCTGGTGGGCTGATTGTGTGAGAAATTGGAGGGTCACGGGTAATCACAAAAAGCGAAGCAGCAATATAAAGGAGCTTTTTGGGGGGGCATAACACATACGACCATACCCACTGGAATATACGGGATCCCGTCCGCTCTCCCCTAGTCAAACCAGTGAGGGCCATTTTAGTATTGGGAGATAGTTGGGTTCCCGCATTGGCCAATCAATGGCCTCATTCAGCGCCCCACCCTTTCTTTTTCCCCATGCCCCATTCTTGAATAAACCGTTTCGCCGCAAAGTTTCCCATGCGCCCGACGATAGTTTTTTGATTTCCGTTTTTCGTTTCCAAAACCGCTAGCCGCCCCTAATTCACACCACCAAATAGATTTCAGAAAATAATGCCAGTTTATTTTTTAAAAGGGGGGGACGCTTGCGTTTTTTTCCTTTTTACCGATTTTATTCTATAATCGTTCACCTTAAAGTTTTTTGTGCTTGTAATGCTTTGCGACCAGTCGACGACGAGCAAACGATATAATGCCGCTTTTATACGCCGACATTTTTATCGCGATCTCGGCGCCGGTTAAAAAATTTCGGGCCGGTAAAAATGATAAGCGTCGCAATAATTTCCTCCGAAACGATAATAACGAGCCGTTACCAGATACACGGGAATATGGCGATAGTTTCCGCCGTGCCTAAAATGCAATAATAAAATCGTGGATAATGCACGTCTTTTCTTTTTTCCTTTTACGTTATATTATTATTATTACCCTATTTTATATCGCTTTTTATTATTTTATATTGATAATTTTTTAAACGCTTTAAATTTTTCCGGGAAAAAATAAATAAAATATCCGCCGCAAGCCTGGAAAACACGCGTAACCGGTTAGCCCTTTAAAATAATCCAAATCTGAGACCAGAATCGAAATCGCCGCCCCAGAATTGGCCCAGTGCCGATGCCGTACCTTGGCCGCGCCGGAGGCGCGGGGCCAAAGCCGATAATAATCGATTTTAAATTCGCGGCTAACCGGCACGCCAGAATGATAAACCCCCCTAACGCGTCCTAAAACGCGCGAAAAAAGCCGATATTAATATAAACCCGGTAAACGATAATTTTTAATCTAAAAAAAAAAGATTATAAATAAATCGAAATTTTTTATAATTAACGGAAAATTATTAGAAATTTTATAATTTATAATAAAATTAGTGAAATTTAAAACCAAATATAAAGAATAAAAATAAACGTATAAATGTAACGTTAATTATATAATATAAATAATAATATAAATATTATAAAATTTTTAAAAAAAAATATTAATGAAAGTTAAAAACGCTTTTATTAATAATAAAAAAATATATGCTGTTATTTTAATAAAAAACGCGCCGTATCGCGAAATTTACGGAATCGAAATAAATATAAACTATTAATAATTTATAAACCTTTTATAACCACCCCCGAAATTTATCCTCGTAAAATAAAAAAAAAATTATAATAATTATTAGTAAGAGTTTATATTCCTGTTAAACGGTTCGAAATTCTCCAAAAGTGACAAATAACGATTTTTGTGATTAAGGGAATGGTTTTGTTATATTATGCGTGCAGAGAAAAAGATTTATCTGCTTAAAGGAGAGCTTAAAATTAGCCTTTATATGCGTAAAGGCGATCGCCCAAAAGGCGTTCCTCCGCTTTAGCTTAAGCGGTTTGATTGGCCCGTGCAAAGATCTGGAGGATCCCGGGGCCACACGGGGGAACCCTTTTTCCTACCGCGCGTGCGTATAGAAATGCCATTTTAATACCGGCACTTTTTTCTTTTTATACGCGGGTGCCGTGAGATTTTTCCCTTTTTTCGGTGCTTATTTATAAAGATTTTTAGGATTTTTAAAAGCGTTAAATAAAAGAAAGTTATAAAAGGAAAACTGCCCGGATCCGGGATCTGGGTTTTTATTTATTAAAAGGATAACCGGTTAAATGCCGGCCGAAATAATATATAAAAATAGCAAAATTATCCCGTTAAATTAAACTTTTTATATTTTATAAAAGTTTAAAAATAAAAGTATAAAAAATAATAATAAAATGATAAAACGGGTTAAGGTATCGGTGTAATAAAAGCTTATTTAATAAATCGCTTTAATAAAAAATAATATTAACGATTTCTATAAAATAAATTTATAATTATAAAAACATTTTTTTATTTCGCTTTTAATTTTATTAATTTGAATTAGTTAATTACATTATCGATTTATTTTTTTATTTTTTTATATTTTATCCGTTTGCGTTTTATTATTTTAATATTTCGATTAATCGATTATCATTTTTATTAATCGCTTTTTTTTTACCTTTTTCTTTATTTATAATTTAAATAGCAGGCGGTAAAAGAAAATCTTTGAATTTTATGTATAAATGTAAAAATTATCGCTTTTAAAAGCTGGATTTATTTAAAAAATCCTATCGAACGATAATAATGCTAAATTTATCGTTTAAATCGATTAATTTGAAAAAAAAGCAAAGTTTTTGCAAAATTTAATTATAATAGCGCTTTTAATTTAATCCGATAATTTTTAAATTAATATAATGATCGTTAATATTTTTATATTCCATTTATAAAAAATTTAACGTTTTTAAGTTTTAAATAAAACTTTTTTAACTTTTATTCCGAATCCCGATTTTATTACTCCCATTTTTTTTAAAAATTTATACGATTCCGCGCATATTTTTAATAAAATCGCCGATTTTTTTGCCGTTAATTCCGAAAAATCGATCATAATTATTAATTTTTCCGATCGTTTTAAAAAATTTTCGAAAAAATTTATAAAAAATATTTTCGCGCGTTATAAAATTACGATAAATAAAGTTAATTATTAATATTATTTAATATAAATAAAATTTGCATTAAAATATTTTAATTATTTTGGATTTAAAAAATATTTCGATTTTTTGGATAATTTTTTTAATCGAAAAAAACGTTATATTAAACGCGCCCGGAAAATATTTAAAAAAAATTTTTAAATATATATTAATTAAAAAAATACTATTATTAAAATAATTATTAAACGTTAAATAAATTACCGTAATTTTTTAAATGGGCAGAATAAATTTATCGATTAATTTAACCAAAATTTTATTATTTAAAAAAATAACGGCGAGAAAAAAAAGGAATTTGTTAAAGTTTTAAATTTTTAATTTTAAAACGAACCTTTTACCGAATAGCTCGAATAAGTTACGGTTAAAATTGCGCTTCCCGAATAGCTAAATACTATTAAAACGAAGTTATAACCTTTTTAATAACCTATTAAAATTATCGATTTCACCATTTAATAATCCGAAAATCGTTTTAAGTTTAAAACCCCCAAAAAGAATAAAAATAAGGTTAAAATCATATTCACGACCCCGGCTTGTTTAATATTAAAAATAAAAACACTTTTTAACGTTCCTCGATTAAAAACAAAAATAATAAATCATTTTTTACTAAATTGAGTAATTATAATCTTTTTAATATTATACGTTTTAAAAATCTTTATTTAATTTATTTAATCTTTTTATTTATAAATAAAATGCAAAAAAATTATATAAATAATTATCGTGAATAAATCCTTTTTAAAAAGCGATATTACCGTTACAAATTTAACTATTTTTATAAATTTATATAAATTACCCGATTTTTAAAAAATTAATCCAAAAATCGGGCTAATTCAAAAAAATAAAAAATCCTTTTTTAATTGTATATTTTGCCCGAAAACTTTTTACCGAATAATTTAAAAATAAAAGCGTCCGGAAAAAAAATATAAATTATATTCCTGGGTTTAAATGTTTTAAATACACACGTTAATAAATATTTATTTAATTGCAAATTTTTAATAAATAAAAAATTTAATATAAAAAAATATTAATTTTTATAAAAAAGAATACCGAGAAAAGCGTTTAAAAGGAGCCGTTTGTTAATTTTAATAGCGATTTTTTTAAAATAACGAAAATTTAACGGAGTGTTACGAGCCGCGCGGCCGCTTTACGAATATAAAATACCGCGGTTTTTATGGATATTCCTGATAAAAAGTTCGAAAAAGGAAAAAAAAATAATAAAAATAATAATTTTGGTAATTTCTCGGATAACGAGTAAAAGGGATTTGGGAAAACGTATTCGTAAAATCGGGTTACCGTTTTTTTACGTTATATTTTTTTACCGTTTTTATTAATTATAAAAAATTTAGTTTTATATTATATCGCGTTATATTTTTAAAATTTATTATGGAAAAAAAAATCGATTTATTTACCTTTTAATTTTTTTTTATTTTTAATCTCGTTTTACCCATTCCTTAATTTTCACCGTCGTTACGTTCGAATTAATCAAATTTTTTAACGTTTTATTTAGTAAATTTTTTATTATTATATCCGTAAGGTTATTTGCTTTTGCGATCCATTTAATTTTATTAATCTCCTTACTTTTATAAAATTTTCGAAAAATTATAATATTTATTATAAAACGCTTTTTTATCGTTATCCTGAATTAAATTAAATATTAATATAACGAAAAATTATTAATATAAATTACCAACTCGTATAATAGTAAATTTAGCTTTTCGTTAATCGCTGAAAGCGTAATTTTAAAAACGTAACCCGTATTAAACCCGTTAATTATATTATAAATCTCGCTAATAAAAACGCTGCGCGTCACTTTTTTGCATTTAATAAAACTTTAATATAATATATTTCCAATCATCTGGAAATTGTTTTCCTGTTTTATAGGGTTTTTAACGCTTAATATAATTAAAAATCCAATTTATAAATTAAAATTTTTATTATTAACGAAAAACCTGTTTATAAAAATAAATAATTTCGCTTTTACTAAATTAATCCGTATATAATTTAAACTTTTATTTGTATTATCGATTTATTAACGGATATATTTATTAAATTTTACGACATTTGTATTAGATGGTTTTTTAATTTACGCAATTATAAAATAATTAAATACAGTTTCCAATTAATATATAAAATTAATATATACCCCTCGTGCGTATTAAACGATATATTATTATTAAATATTATCGTCCTTATATAGCATAGATTTAAACCGGATTATTTGGCCCTTTTATTATATATAAATAATTATTTTGCTAATTGTAATTTTGCAGCTATTAAAATAACCCTCGTTACCAGGGCTAAAAATTGCCCTTGGTTTCGTTTTAAAACCCGCTTTTTAAAGTGCGTTTTCCTTTTTTTTTATAAACTTT